AAATAATCATTGACGATATGTTTGCATTCGCAGTAGCCACTGAAATCATATTAAGTGATGATATTGAGCCCCGCTCTGTTGATAAATGCAAACAGAGACAAGATTGGCCTAAGTGGAAAGATGCAATCCAGGCAGAATTAAATTCCTTGGAAAGGCGAAGTGTTTTTGGACCAGTAGTCCAAACCCCAACTGATGTAAACCCCGTAGGTTACAAATGGGTATTTACAAGGAAACGCAATGAGAAAAACGAGATTGCTAGATACAAAGCACGACTCGTTGCACAAGGCTTTTCACAAAGACCTGGAATTGATTATGAGGAGACATACTCTCCTGTAATGGACACAATTACGTTCCGTTACTTAATAAGTTTGGTGATTTCAGAAAAACTTGACATGCGACTTATGGATGTCATCACCGCGTATCTATATGGAGAATTAGATACTGACATATATATGAAAGTCCTAGAAGGACTTAAGTTGCCTGAAGCAACAAACAAACCACGGGGTATGTTCTCAATCAAATTAAGGCGATCACTATATGGGCTGAAACAATCTGGGCGAATGTGGTATAATCGTCTCAGTGAGTATTTGATTAAAGAAGGATATATCAACAATGTCATCTGCCCTTGTGTGTTCATTAAGAAATCCAACTCTGGATTTGCTATAATGGCAGTATATGTTGATGATATGAACTTAGTTGGGACTCCTGAAGAGCTCTATAAAACTGCTGAATATCTGAAAAGCGAATTTGAAATGAAAGACCTTGGGAAAACCAAATATTGTCTAGGCCTGCAGATCGAGCATTGTGTTAGTGGAATTTTGGTCCATCAATCAGCTTACATTGAAAAAATACTGAAGCGATTTGGCATGGACAAGGCTTATCCACTTAGCACCCCAATAGTCGTTCGTTCTTTAGACATTAAGAAAGATCCATTCCGTCCAAAGGAAGATGATGAACTGGTCCTTGGTCCAGAAGTACCATATTTGAGCGTAATAGGTGCTTTATTGTATTTAGCACAATGTACTAGACCAGATATAGTTTTTTCAGTTAACTTGTTAGCCAGGTACAGCTCTGCTCCAACAATTCGTCATTGGAAAGGAGTCAAAGATGTTCTACTATACCTTCGTGGGACAACAGATATGGGTCTCTTCTACTCAGACAAGCCCACAAATGAACAAATCCTTGTTGGATACGCAGATGCTGGTTTTCTCTCCGATCCGCATAAAGCCCGCTCACAAAATGGATATGTGTTCACTAATGGAGATACTGCAATTTCATGGCGATCAACGAAGCAAACGCTAGTTGCAACATTTTCCAATCATTCGGAAATAATTGCTCTACATGAAGCAAGTCGTGAATGTTCTTGGTTAAGATCAATGATCCATCACATCCGGAATTCATGTGGTCTACCTTCAAAGACAGACACTCCAACTGTCATCCATGAAGATAATGCAGCCTGTGTCGCCCAAATGAAGGAAGGATTTATCAAAGGTGATAAGACTAAACACATATCTCCAAGATTTTTCAGCGCACATGAGCTTCAGAAGGCTAAAGTTATTGAAGTCAGACAAATCTGTTCCAATGAAAATTTAGCAGACTTGTTCACCTAATCTCTACCAAAGTGCATATTTCAGAAGCTGGTGTAGGGAATCGGATTACGTCGGCTTACAAATTTGAAGAATGCAGAATCAGGGGGAGATCCAATTCAGGGGGAGCATCCATGATACATGCATGTTGTACTCTTTTTCCTTCGCTTAGGATTTTTCCCACTGGGTTTTTCCTATCAAGGTTTCAACGAGGCAACATAAGCATGCTCAACACCATCCGGATAAAGTTGTACTCTTTTTCCTTCGCTATGTTTTTTTTTCCCACAGGGTTTTTCCAAGCAAGGTTTTAATGAGGCAACTGATGTTGATATGTGGGCATCCAAGGGGGAGTGTTGTAAATAGTATAATATGTATGCCCACATGCATACAGTGAACCTGTCATATGTTTAACAGTGTTTTGTTTGTTTCCATGGTGATACTCTATAAATAGAGCTTTACGAATGTTCAACAAAGCAGAGAGAAAAGGAAGAGAAAAATATCTAATAGTAATAATATACATTACTTCCTCTGCAACAGCTTGTGTTGGTATAATACTCTGCAACTGCTTCGTTCCTGTCCTGAATAAAGGTTATCTCTCTATAACTTTTACATTTTTATAACAACATATAGATTATAGAGTATTAGAACATATTCAAAATATGGGGAGTAAACATATAATGAGTGTTTATCCAAGTACTCAACAAGTTTCTTACAATTTATTGAAAAAATAAAATACAAAATAAAAATTACCTATTTCCTATCTAGGAGGGTGTATTTAATTGAGATTTTAAGGGATTTATAAATTCATGGATTTTGATGGATTTGTGGAAATTTCATGTAAAATTTTGATTAAATTCCCTCGAATTCTCAGAGGAAGAGGTAATATTTGTGAATGCTTAAAATACGCCAATTCTTTCAGATTCCTCAACTTTTTAAAATTCTTTAAAACAAATTCCTAATTTTTTTTATCACAAAAACAAATTCCTAATTGAATACACTTAGAATGTTATAAACTTTTTTAAAATCCTAATTGAATACAACCGGATTTATAAGAATAAACTATCTTAAAATCTTGATTGAATATAGGTTAAATTTTAGAGAATCACTTAAAATCCTAATTGCATACCCCTAGATTCATTAAATTCCAGAGAGTTGCAATTTAGGCGGGTTAGGTGGGTGTCTGAGTAGGTCTAGGCACATTTTCTTAATTTTCAAACGCCTAGTGATTAATCGGGACAGTAGCCAGCCGCCTAACGTCTAAGTAAGATCTAGGCGGCGCTAGGGAAATTTTTTAGAATAGTGATCCAAACAAGTAGTCATATTATCATTTGTCACGCATGATCATATATATCTTGTTTCGTTAGGTGTACAATATAATTTTTCATGTTTACTATTCTAATACTTACAAATTGCAATTATCTGATAAGTTTTGCCTTGATTCAAGCCATCTAGACCGAGCTATTTCGTAGCAATTTCTCACATGCATATATTGATAGTTATCAGATAAAGTCACTTTGAAGAAGGTAGAAATTAACTATGCCCAATAAATTAATGACTGTATGCATCAAGAAATAGTAGAATTAATAAAAGAACGGAAAACTGAAGAAGGAAGCAAACTCAACAAAAATCAATTTCTGTGAGCTATTCATGTAGGACAAGTAGACCAAAAGACGGAAGGAGCTTCATGTGAAGGAGGTAAATCTTTATATAATATAGGCAAGTTGCTGCTGTAGTAAGAGACAACTACATATGGTTTGAAGAATGTTTCATCCAAGCATTGGTGACGGCTAATCAAGTCTTCTAAATGGGCATAAGGGGGGAAGTATATAACTTTACTAGAGAAATGCTAAGGGAACTCTTTGTGACCTTACAGTTTATCATCAATTTTCGTACTACATTATAAAATATTGTGTCAAGAATATGATCGTGAAAAATAGTCTATGGAGAATCTTACTTTTATAGCATTTCTCGTACTTACTACGTTCACACAATTCTAATTGCTAATCGTCACTAATCCACATCATGATCATGAAATGTGGAAATGGGAATGCTATTACGTTTTAGAATGAGTGTTTTCTTGGTAATGAGTCGTGAGTGGGACAGGCCCGAACATTAGTTTGTAACACCCCGTGTGCGCTTCATTTGAACAAAATATATTGACAACTTTATTAGGTCACATGTATGCTCTCTATTACCATGTTGTGACCAAACAAATATCTTGATGTCATATATATTATAACATGTTTATTTAAAATGCGTAATTGTTTTTATTTTTATCTTCTATGTGTTTCATATAACAATTTTTTTTTAATGTTGAATCTCACCTTATAGTATATGATAATTTAGTACCTTTAAACTTTCGAATTATAGATTGATTAGAAATTATCAATCTCCAATTCATGATGATTTGCGCTCCAATTCTATAAGTAAACATGTCATTAAAAGTGATCCAATCCTTAATGGAGATTCTTGAAACCTTATGACCTCATTTGGTATATGATTGGATTAGACTTAATAATTTACTACTTTTCAGGTGTGTTGAAGAAACAAATGAAAAAATCATGTCTAAACTCAAAAATATAATACGAATTATTCAGGAAAAATGCTTAACCCATTCCAATCTTCTTCCTCTATAAAATAGTTGAAAAACTTTATTTATTTTAAATTGAGAAGACAAACGAAAGTTGAACTCATCAACTCATGTACTCCAACAAGGGTATGATGACCCATTCAGTGTCATGATGGCAGCTACCCATATGGTGATCTTTCATCGATCATCCTAGATAATATATGTCTCGTGCTCAACACAAAGTGGTCAAAACTAATAAAACCTTAGCTAATACTTTAAGCAAAGACCTAAATAAATCTTGTTACACACAAAAACCATGTGTTATGGAGAAATTCGTTTTTGGGGATTGCACCTAGGCAGATGTTGGACTGGGATTGAACACCAGGACTTCCAAGAAGCTCACTTAACCTACCTCCACTCAGAATGTGGCATTTTTGGCCTCCAAATATTACTAAGTGACAAAAGCTTTGATTATCTTATGTTTATATTCTTCTAGGTCCTACCTTAAATTAACTCCAAAATATATGTTTAGTTGTCTTTTATTTACTTAATTTGCAATCAAACATATGTTGATATATTGTTATTTATTTCTATATTAATTATTTGTTCTTTGACATTATCTTTTTCTCCACTCCACTAACCCTAACTAGCTTACGCTGCAGTTGAAAGACAAAAATAAGTGGCCCTTTCCATTGTCTCCACATGGTTTCCTTAAACAATTCTTATATTTTTCAATATCTATCAGCCTGTAAGAGTTGACAATCCCCCGTATTATTAAGAGTATTTATATGGTGATGGGGCTTTGTGCTTTATAAACACCTCCCTCGGACCCTCATCTCATTTCCCAACCTCTCAAGCATACACAAATATATACATATACAAATATATACATACACACACACACACACACATATATATATACAAGTCTCTTGTGTTTGGTCCTCAGATTCTTTAGTCCATAACTTTATACTTTCTTGTAAAAATTCATATATATGGATATCATAAAGAGAAAGTGGAAGAAGAATATGATCGCCAACGCATGGAAGAGATGTAGTTTACAAAGAGAGAGCAGCAGCAAAGTACTCAACTCATTGACTAAGAGCAAGTCATGCCACTGCAGTTCCACTACTAGGAAGAGCAAAGGCCAGGTAGCTCCGGACGGGTGTTTTTCAGTCTACGTTGGACCACAAAGACAACGGTTTGTAGTGAAGACGGAGTTTGCAAATCATCCGTTGTTTAAGATGCTGCTGGATGATGCCGAAATGGAATACGGTTACAACTGCGACGGTCCGATTTTGCTTCCTTGTGATGTGGATTTGTTTTATAATGTGTTGGCTGAGATGGAGAGCAGTGAGGAAACTAGTACTCCTAATTGTGGGTTTGTTAAGGGTTATGGTTCGTTGATGCTTTGCAGTCCTTCTCGTCGTCTAAATTCAAGCATCAACGACGGTTATGGTGGTGCTTATAGGCTGCTTAGCCCGTTGAAAATGCTTAAGATAAACCAATTTTAATCATGTATATATCATCGTTAATGGTGATTAATTTTGTGCAAACATATGTAATTCAAGTGCTTCAAAGAAATGCAATACAAGTAGATTAATTCAAAGAACGACGGCTAAGTGTGCTTTGGTCACAAAGACATCGATTTTCTTTGTTCATTAATGCTTGCTTTCCTTGCTCGTTAGTTTTGTGCAACAAAATTTGGCCCTACATCATACTTATCCGGGTTTTGTTTTGTCCATTTATCTTTTTAATTTGTAGGAAATATTTTAGTTTATTAAGATATAGTATTTGGATTACTTCCCTGGTTGTTAACTGATTGTTGGCTTTTGCTGCTAGTTCTTTGTTATTAACATGTTAATCTGGTTTTGTTTGGATTATCTTATTCACACCGGTCATATGAAAATCAGTCTTTTCAATTCAAAATTAGTAATGTAATAGGGCTCGTTTGGAAATGCTTTTAAAATGATTGAAAGCTCTTTTAGAGAAAATATTTTTGAGTTTCAGAAACATTTGAAGTGCTTCTTGAAAAAAACACTAATTATGTGCTTATTTCAGAAAGCCGTTCAAGTGCTTTATCAGGATTCACTTGCATGGTTGGGTTCTAGAAACATTTGAAGTGTTTCCTGAAAGAAGCACCAATGACGTGCTTCCTTCATGAAGCAGTTCAAGTACTTTTTCAGAATTCACTTTCGTGGATTCAACTAAGCATTGATCCTAAAAACATTATCTCTAAAAACGTTTTCAGTTGTTTTAAAAGTACTTACAAACAAGTCAAGTGAATATTCTAGCCCAATAGTCATGGTTAAGATGTCTGTAGTATTCTCTGCACTACGAATGAACTTGACAACAATTCTTCCATTAAACACCTTCTCACAAATGAAGTGATCGGTGCTCAATCTCAATATGTTTTGTTTGGGCATGATACAATGGATTGGATGCAGGTTTGATACCACTGATTGTCCCCAAACAGAATTGTTGGCTTGTCAATAGATAGATAAACGTCGCTCACAAGTCGTCGAAGCCGAACACACTCTTGAGCAGCAAGTATTGAAACTATATACTCTGCTTCTGTAGTAAATAATGAAACTGAAACCAGGAAACACTTTGTCGCATGGTATTATTTATTTTTGTCTACATATCATCAGTGGCGAAGCTGTTAAGGCATAGAGAGGGGCGGCCACCCCTCCTCTCGCCGGGAAAGTAGCCTAGAAATCAGAGCCGTCCATGAGATTTAGGGAGCTACGAAATTTGTAAAAGGGCCTCTTTTTAAGATGGTTTTTTTTCCAAAAAAAAAAAAAAGTAGGACAATGTATTGGTGCTAGAAAGCAGTAACTTAAATCAAAACAAATTTTAGGATTCATTGATTGTAAGTTTACAAATGTCATTAAATAGTAAGTAAAAAGAGTTACAAACATAACATTCACTAAATAATCAAAATCAGTTCAATCTTAAACAACCAAATAAGGAAAAAAACTTCAAAAATTCTAACTTTAAGATCTATAATATTTTTACATATAAAGAGGCTAACACAAATTTTTAGCGGCCCCTTCAAACTTGGGAACGCTGTACGATTGCACATTTCGCTCTCCCTCAACCCCACCTCTGCCAGAAATCTTAGTTGGTTGTTTTGCCGCCCTTCTGGCTCTGGTCTTGCTGGATCTGATGACTGCAGTTTTCCATTGCTGCTGCGTGCAGCTTTAATTTTTTTGTAAAATTCAGGCCCAAATAATGTCGTTTCGGTCCTGGTTAAATAAGAAAATAAAAAACGGACCGTTTAGGCTTTAAGTTAAAAAAAATATTGGGGGACCGTTTATTCCGTTCAGTTTGGATTAACTCGGCATACATGATTAAAAGATAGGGAGTTTTAACAAAACATTCCCGATACTGTTCATTTTTAACGAAAAACCACATTTATACATTTTTCTGGTACTATTTATTATACTTTTAAAAATGCCTTTTCATTAAAAGGAAAGTTTTTTTTGGACTTTTCGTTAGTTTTTCTTAATAGATAATGATGTAAAATAAAAGTGCCCAGCAGGCAGTAACTAATATTTACATAAAATAAATTTACCTATAGATATATTATAGATTGGAAATTTAATAACAAAATATGCTATATAAAATGAAATTAATGTTGTGACATATGTTCTTATCAATATGTGATTGTGTAAATCCTAAGTAGAGATAAAGTAGGAATCCTTTGGGATCTAGAAGATCTTTCCTAATATACTTTGTATTACTTGGAGAGAAAGTTTCTTTCCTCCTAATTACTATAAATAAAGGCATAAGGACTGGAGAATTAACAAACAATTCCTCAAGCCTATTCTCCACTCTCTCTTTTTCCCTTTGCCGCACCTCTCTATTAAATATATATGCCACAACATGTTATCAGCACGCTATTCACGCTGTGCTAAAGAGAATTTATTCGTCTTCAATCAGGAGAGTATTACATTTCAATTATTTTTAATTGATTCAATTTTGATTTTATTGAATTCATATGCTTTTATTGATTCAATTTATTTTTCTTATGTTGAACATGATACAAGCTTTGGAAATGGAAAGCCGAAATTGAAGAAATAATTTTCTGCATCAAACCAATTCATCAATATCATCATGCAATCAGGTTCTTCCAAAACAACAGTTTTTATCTCGATATTTTGCAGCCCTGATAGCATGAACATTCACCATAATGCATGACCCAACTTTACGATTTTCGAATTTTAGATTCTATATAAATTGTGCAAGCATTATAATCATAATCTTACTGAATTATGTGAATTGATATTGTGATATTACTATGAAATATTATATGCATTTGAATCTAATTGAATTAAGAAAAAAGCTAGGGTTTGTTGGAAATCCACCAAGCCGCTGAGCTCCCCTATGCTGAGCCGCGAACCACGAGCCATGAGCCAAGAGAGCATGCATCCTTCCGTTGAACCTAGAAACGCGACGCCTCATGGCGTTGTCCTTGTCCTTCGACTCGGACCCGTGAACCATCATCTCGGCCACCAATTTGGTGTAGTCCAGACTAACTCCAATGACCTGCAGTCATTGTTGATAAAGTTTGTGGCCGAGATTTCTTTGAAATCTCTCCTAAGTTTGAAATTTCGATTTCAATCCCACGGAGTTCTGTTTGGGGACGTTGAGGTTATCCCTCCGCCACCAAACGATGGTTCTCAAGTGAACCACCGTCTTAAGCACCACTCCCTGACCAAGAACACAGCCACCTGAAATGGCAGCGTCGGTCCCCAATTCCGGTGAACACACACAGCGTTGTGACGCAGCACGAAGCAATGAAAGGGTTACCAGCGTAATCCCTTGTAGAACAAAGTTACTGGAGTCCACCAGTTGATAGAAATCCCAAAGGATAATTTGATTAATTGATTGAAAGATGTCCAAATGATTACAAACCTATGGCTTAAATAAGCCTTTTACAACCTTTTGGGAAACTCAAAAGACTTCGGGAATTAAAATGAAAATAACTAACATATAATAAAGCCCTTGAAACCCCAAAAGACTCCATTTATTAGTAAGTTGCTGTCTTGATGACTTTCTGCAAAAGATGGCTCAAGCCACTTTTGTGGGAGAATTATTTTAACAAGTTTCTGCGAAAAGTGGCTCAAGCCACTTTTATGGGAAATTAACACCCCTTTTATGATTGCATCCTTTTGTCTTCCGACGTTCCATCTCCTCCTCGATCCATTCCGCCATTTGTTCTACATCAGTCCCCTCCACTTCAGAAGAACTCGACCCCGAGTTATGATCAGGATAAAGAACTTCATCATCATTGAAGGTATACAAATCAGCAACGTTGAAAGTATTGGAAATTCCCATAGACTCCGGCAAATCAATAACATAGGCATTGTCATTAATTCGCTTGATAACTTTGAATAGACCATACTTTCGTGGCTTTAACTTGCTGTAAGTTCCAAAAGGGAATCGTTCTCTTCTCAGGAACACCATGACAGAATCTCCTTCCTTAAACACTTTAACTCGCCGATGTTTGTCCACTGCTTCCTTATACTTAATATTGGTTTGTTCAAGCCGTTGCTTGACCTCATCACGAATTGCCACCACATCTTCAACCATATTTTCTACAGCAATGCTAAGTTCATGTCCCCTAGGTAGCTTCACCAAATCCACCATGTGATGAGGAGTGGCAGTGTAAACAATAGAAAATGGTGACTTACCAGTAGCACGATGCACATCACTATTATAAGCAAACTCCATCTGAGGTAGGGCATAGTCCCATTGTTTTGTTTTGTCTCCACAAATGCTTCGAACCATGTTACCAAGAGTCCTATTTGTGACCTCTGTCTGTCCATCAGTTTGGGGATGTGCAGTAGTACTTCGATTCAAAGTAGTCCCAAACATTCTCCATAATGTAATCCAGAAATGACTCAAGAACTTGGTGTCTCGATCAGAAGTGATGAACTTAGGTACCTCATGCAATCGAACAACCTCCCTGAAAAACAGTTTGGCTATGTTTGATGCATCAGCGGTCTTTCTGGAAGCAATGAAATGAGCCATCTTGGAGAACCTGTCAACCACCACAAAAACTGAATCCACTCCTCTTTGCGTTCGGGGTAGTCTGAGCACAAAATCTATAGCAATGTCCTCCCAAATATCGTTAGGAACGGGTAAAGGCATGTAAAGGCCCGTATTTTGGACTTGCCCCTTTGAAACCTGACAAGTGTAACACTTTCTCACAATGGCTCCAACATCCCGTTTCAATTGTGGCCAAAAGTACCTTTCTTCCAAACTTGCTATCGTCTTGTCACGACCAAGATGACCGCTTAATCCTCCTCCATGCAAATCTCGAATAAGCTTTTCCCGCAAGGAAGAGACAGGAACACATAATTGGTTACCTTTGAACATAAAACCTTCGTTGATAGAGTAATCTGCCATAGGTTCATGATTAATGCATTTCTTCCATATTTCCTGAAAATCATCATCGGTTGCATACAACTCCTTTAAGCACTCGAAACCCACAACTTCTTGGGAAAGAGGGATTAGCAATGATGCTCGTCTACTCAAGGCATCGACAACACGATTTTGAGCTCCCGATTTATGCTTGATAACGAATGGAAATTT